AAACAGTAAAAAAGGCATGCTTTAGTTAGTTTTGAGTACTGCAACCGGCAGGATCAGTGCTGTTACGTATTAGGTCGTCAAGAAATTAATGTCACGTTTTGGAACACTTTCATCAACCAACCCCAAAAAAACGTACATCACGTATAATAAGTTAAACAAACCACCTAAACGTCGCGTTAGTGTAGCCTATATAATGTATAAAGTTTAATATTGTTACAACAGCGGAAGTCACGTGACGCTGTTAACACGTGATGGGATTCTCGAAGGATCATGAATTTTCCAAACTCTAGTTTGTTCCAGACGCCCTCGTTTTTTTAGTACATGAGCCCGGCAAATAAAGCGAGGATAGAATTGCATAGATAGATAGATATAGAGAGAGATAACTGAGGCACCGTAAGTAAAGTGTGTGAAACACTGTGATTTATAGCCTGTGTTTATAAAAGTAGTTAAGTTTAAAGTGACTGTGGAAATTCTGTGTATTACAAAGTTGTATCAAGAAAGAATAAACTAGTTTTAATTAAGAAAAGACTTGTATCGCTGAAGTTCCTTAGAAAAAATTTATACCGGAAATTAACAAACGAGCAGATACGCAACAGTATACTTTAATCCCTTATAGTGATGACACACGACGAGACACACATTCAGCATGTAATGCTGTTTGAATACAAGAAGGGAAAAACGCCTATGCAGCCACAAAGAATACCAATGAAGTTTATGGAAATGTTTTGAACGTTCGTAAGTGTCAACAATGATTCAACAAATTTCGTTCAGGTGACTTTAGCCTTAAAAACTGTGATGGCTGGGGCCGACATGTTGGAATTGATATTGATGCTCTGAAGACGCTTGTTCAAACCAATAAATAAGATAAAAGATATGATGGGGAATGCTAAAGACAAAATAGAATTAACAGGTATATGCAAAGTGGAATGTGAATGTGGTAGTGTTTATATTGGTCAAACTAAAAGAAATTTAAAATATAGATTGCAATAACATAAAAGTTAAATAAGAAATAATAAAATAGAAATTTCATCTATAGCTGAACATGTAAAAAGTACCCAACATATAATATTATGAGAAAATACTTTAGTTTTAGCTCATTAGAAATAATGGAATATGAAAAACAAAAACAAGTATTAAATAGAGTCGAAGGACCAGCAAATCAATACATTGATATATGGCGAGATATGTTATTATTATTTTTTTTCGATTACACTTAGGAAATATGCAAATAACAATGAAGTAATGTGACAAGGGGAAAGTATAAAATAGTGTTGTAAGTTACTCCTGAGGATGACGTAGATTAGTCCAAACATGTACGTGTAGAATGACATTTCTATTTTAAAGTTGAAGCCGTACGAATTCAGTAAAGTTTTTATTGTGTAAATACAAACGTTGTTTTTAATCATTTATTATAATTTTAAAAATCACTTTATGTTAGTTGTTTTTTTATTTATACATCCAACATTATAATCTTACCAATGGAATCATTACTTCATGTTTGTTTGTTTTTGTTTATATATCCAGGATTATAATCTTACTGAACCAAGCATTACTTGATGTTTGTTGGTTTTTGTTTGTACATCCAGGATTATAATCTTACTGAACCAAGCATTACTTGATGTTTGTTGGTTTTTGTTTGTACATCCAGGATTATAATCTTACAGAACCAAGCATTACTTGATGTTTGTTGGTTTTTGTTTGTACATCCAGGATTATAATTTTACTAAACCAAGCATTACTTGATGTTTGTTGGTTTTTGTTTGTACAT